CCCTCCAAAACGATAGTGCAGGGAATGAGGGCCCCTCTCTGCTGTGCAGCTTCAGTTTTCCAAGGCTCCAAGCCATCCTCACAGCTTCCCAGCTGCCTCTCCCACGGGCCCCTCCACAGGTTCATGCTAGGCACCTGGCTGGCTCTGGTCCTTCAGCTCCCTGGAATTTTATTATAGAGGGAAAAGCAGCATATAAGAGAGGAGTCAGCTGCTTGTCTATCCGGGATAACGATTCATTTTCCAGGAATGGCACAGGTATGAAAGATGTTTTAATCCAAATATCAGTCAAAATAAATCGTTTTTTATTGCAGTCAGACCTCAAGTTGCATAGCCCATGCAATAGCTCCTGTAGCAGACTGGAGTGGGGTGGAGGTGTGAAACAGCTGCTGCAGACCTGCTTGCAAAACGGAGCAAGTTGGAAAGGCTGCTGTGCTCTTGGTTTGGACACCAAGGAGTTAAGGCTGTCCTTTGGAACGTCTCTATTTTCCACTTAGACACTGTGGCAAACACTTCTTGAAAGGTGGGACTGGAGAATGTCCCACCCTGTTTTGGAGCACTCCCTGGTTATCACATCAGGATAATTTTAGCTGTGGTGGGTCTCATACTTGCTCTGCTCTGATGTCCGTCCACTGATGCAAGTTCTTGGGTTTCAGAGGAAGCTTCCAGAATCAGATGTCCTACTTTTTTAGCTGCTTTTGACAACGTAAGACTCTGTGGGAGAGAGAGGGAGCATGCAAGAGGGTGAGCACGACAGAGAGAAGGGAAGGAGACTGAAAGGAAGGCAGGACTGGGCTGTGCTGGGGAAATTCATACCACATTGGCTATTTCAGATCCTTGCAGGGAAGAGCAGAGTGCTAATAGTCTGAGAAAACATAACTAATTTCTCTGAAAACAGGTCTTATTTCTGTTTGGCTTACAGCTTTGCAGACCAAAGCTGTTAAATTGGGTTTTTCTTTTTGTTTGCTGAACAAGTTAAGAGGTTGTAAAACTTGTGGACTGGCAAAAGGATGAGCCATCCTGATCCCAGTGTGTCTCAGCAGACAGCAGTCAAGGACTGAACAAAACAGCAGCATTACATTCCACTTTGTTTTAAAGTGAGAATAAGGAACAGCAAAAGTAAGGCACTTTATATGTACATCAAAAAGCACTTTGGGGAGTATGTAGCACCTGGAAGGAAATAGGGAGTTGAGATCTCACTGCAGGTGATTTAAGGATAAAGAAATGGAGTGTACTTTAAGAGGATGAAAAAGCAATGTGTGCTTCACTATTTCTGTGCTGTTAAAAGCTCCAGAAAACAAGTCATCTGATTTAGTCTTCAATTGTTAATAAGTAGTAGAAATACTGCCTCAACCCTGCAAAAGAAGCATTTGGAAGCAGTCTGGCAGCAATATTAAGAACAGAGGGATGATGTGTATTTAGCAGGATTGTTAAGGGTGCATACAGAAGCCTGTGCAGGCTGTGGGCAGCTTCAATTAGCATCCTGAGTTACAATAAAGCTGAGGATCACAACCCTTCACTCACCTGTGTATTACCCAGCACTAGTAAAGGGGATATTCAGGTGCTCCCTGACGAATGAAGCTGTTTAGCACTAAACAGGCCTGACGTCTTCCCCCAGATTATATGGTTCATGCACTCCCATGAAGCTGTGGTATAAAAACTACATTTTTCCACATCACAGAAAATCCAAAACAAAAAAGACATTTTTAGTATGATTTGCAGATCAATCATCTTTAACTATTCTTTTTTTATTGACTTATTTATTTTATCACTTTCGCTTTTCATTCTTAATGTCCTTCAAAAGGGATCTCTTCATCCTGTTCTGCCTATATAATTTCACTCTCCTTTTGTACCCACATCCTTATCTTGATATAGATTAGAGTGCGATATTACCACACTGCAAAAATTTTTGTGCATTTTTCTGCGAAGAGAATAGCTTCTCTTGAACTGTTTAACGACTCAGATATTGCCAGTTATCATTGCATTCCTCCAAATATTATCTGCTCTTTTTTCCCCCAAGCTTAAAATAGATTAAAATGAGCAAAGATGAAGAGCTAGTCATAGTTAAAGTAATCCATCAAAATAAATAAATAAATAGGATTTTGCCAGCAACTGCACAATACCTTTTACTTGAAAGAATCAGATGGAAGAGCTGGCCTTCTCTAATCTTGCCTCTAATGTGTTCCAGGGGGCACGAGGTGAGGAGGAAAGGGGTTGAGCCATGGCTTTTCCATAGGTCTTTGCCCTGACAGACGTTTTCATCTGTCATGCATCTGAGGGACTTAAGTTCTTGATGCTTTGCTAAAATCTCATCATTAATTTAAATTTAGGTATATGAGCTTTAGTTTGGACCTTTCCTTGGGCTGCCTTTAAGGCTGCAGAAAGCAGAGAGGCCCCGTAGAGAGAAACCTCGACAAATTAGAGATCTGGGCAGCCACCAACTGTATAAAGCTTAACAAGGGCAAGTGAAGGGGACCAAAGAAATATTATTACATAAAGTGAATATTAGGAATTGGAGAAAGTATATTTGGCTGAATGGAAAACAGCCTTTGCCACTAGACAATGGGTGGTGAGGGGTTCACGTGCAATGCCACATCAGCCTGTTTCATGAGAGCTGAGCCTGCCCTCTTCACCTTGTGTGAAGCTGGACATATGACATGCTGCCACAGTAATTGCTTAGAAATCAGGACAAGGGATGTCATAGCAGTGGGAATGGCTGTAAAAAATTCTCCGGAATTTGCTTATGTGAACTCTCACTCCCATATCTGTTGGTTCTGTTTGATAAATTGATCAGCTTTTCACGTGCTGTTGACTCCAGGATAGCAGGGACACTTTTGTCTTACTTGCTTTGGGAAAGCAGGGGTGTAACTTCAGCATTACTGAAGGAAACTTGTGCCCTGCTTGCCTGGGGACAGGTAGGGGAAGCAGATTACATTTTGGACACAGATTCAAGAGAGGACCTCTGAGCAGATACCACAAGGACTCCAGCCCTCAGCAGTACCTTCTCATTTTGGCATGATAAGCCAAAGGAATATCTGGGGGTCACACCAACTATCAGGAATCATATTGAGGAATACAAAACATCAGCTGGAGGCACACATCAACAGCCCTTTTTATTTCCTTTAGGAGTATGTAAACAACTGCTTTCTGCTCAAAAGCAAATGTCTTCCCTACGCCCAGAAGAAGCATTTGCAGGGCACTGCGACTTGCCCACCATCAGCTGCCTCTCACACAACCAGCAGGCACTGACACATGGGCTCAGCAGGGGTTTGCCTTGGGAGCTCCAAATCCCTCCAGTGAGGGTTTGGGCTGGGATCACATAGTATGTGAAATATCCTAATTTAAATTAAAGCCAGTTACAGCAAAATTTAAACTTCCACCTTGCTGTTAGCTTTCCTGCTTGCTGCCTGCTGAAGCTTTTCTCTTGCAGGTGATAGAAAAAGGAGATAAATTGTGTCGATGCCTAAGTGGCAGCTTAGATTACAGAAGTTTTGGTCTATTGTTTATTTGCAGGAAGTTTGTTAAGTGATGACAAATACCCCAAATTTCTTCGCTGAAAGGGTAGTAAGGCACTGTAACAGGCTGCCCAGGGAAGTGATGGAATCACCATCCTTGGTACCTTCAAAAAGCATCTGGATGTGGCAGCTGGGGACATAGTTTAGTGATGGACTTGGCAGTGCTGGGTTAACGGTTGGACTTGATGATCTTTTTCAACCTTAATGATTCTGTGATTCTGTGAAGTATCAGGTTTTGTGTGATTGTGTCTGTATCCTGCTATATAAAATGTGATTGCCTCATGGCGACCTGCATGCCCATTCATTTTGTGGCTTTGTGTGTGCACATGTGTGCACATATCTATGTATAAGAAGTAGATATGTATGTTTGTGAAGTAGAGGGGCCATGGAGGTTTGGTGTATGTTACTTTTTCCATTGTTCGTGTTGGTTTTGCTTGGGATTTTGCTTTTTGTCGTGTATATGAAAATACTTTGGGGTGGTTCTCAGTTTAAGCTGCAGGGAGTTGGATGTTTTTATTCAATCTTTTGCTCATCTGGAATCTTGACTCTGAGCACACATGTTGAACAGTTTTGGAAAGCTGACCCCTAAAATGAAGCATGGAAAGGAAAAATATTACGATAGTAGAATGCGACATTGGAAATATACTTAGGTTCAGCAATAAATTCTAAACCTACATGTTTGCTATATATGAAGGCCTGTGGGGGAAAAGCTGAAGTTTTAATGCAGAGAGATAGTTCAAAAGAGATGAGGGTTTTTTTCCTCACATGACACATGGAGCATTTTAAACACATCCCTTAAGAAGAAAAACTTCTTTATCTTACGTAAATGTAAACAGACCATCTCTCCGTTGCATCTTTACCCACCGTTGCCTTGGTGGAAGGAAAAATTAGAAGTGAAATAAATCTTACCTGTCTCCTGCAGACTTGAGATCAATTACTTCGCGTCTATTTTATGTTCCTTTTGAATCTCTGACAGGTAAACCAAAAAATTCAGGGTAAGTCACTTTCTGTTGGGAACCTGAAAACTTCACCGTGAAAGAATTTTGAACTTGGGATTGACAGGAATTGTTTTTTGCAACTCATCTTCTTCTTGTACATATGGCACCCAGTGCAGGGTAGTAGCCTGCAGAATTTTTGGATAATCTGTTTACTACTGCTGAGGGGTTTTCCCTGTTTGTTTTTAAAGTCTGCTTGTTTTGGTTTGGGGCTTTTTATCTTGTTTTTATTTTTTTTAATTAACATCTTTGTTGTTTTATTTTTGATGTTGTTTTGCCCTGTAACATCTGTGGAACATTAACGATTGCTTTCAGTTTAGAGGAGAGAAGGGAAAACTGAGAGGCAGCAGTCTTTTTTAGATTTACTTTTTGAGTGGAGTTTGTCTGTGGGTGAAGGCTTGGAAACAGGACTTCTGATCCCATGCCTAACTCCTGCCAACTGGCTGCATGAGTCTGGATTAGTAATTCACTCTTTTATCTTCCTTTTCCACAGGAAAGAAAAATAAAACAGACCAGATGCTGCACTTGAGCTGTCTGAAAAGGCATGGCTAATCAGCTTTTTAACAGGTAGCCAAAGGTTCCTAAATCTAGTGGTGCTGCACAGGGAAACACTTTCAGATGGGTCCAGGTCCCACTCCCAATGCAAAAATATTTATGTTGCTGTATCTCTACTCTTTTTTTCAGCTCCATAAATACATTTTGACAGGCATTTGTAGTTATGACCTACATACTCTTTACAGGCTGTAAATCTTTGATTCATAACTGTAGGACACTTTGTTCTTAGAATGCTATCTAATCTCGTAATTTAAAGGGGCAATCAGAGGACTGTTCCTCCTAAATACTGCTGTGTACCTTAAACGTTTGTGAATTCATTTTGCAATGTGCATAATTCCTTATCATTTTTCTTCCTAGGGTGTGATGACTAGGCACAGCTCCATGACACAGCACCGTCTGAGAACTGACACCACTGGAGGAGAAACAAGTAATCTGGAAATGGTAATATAGAAATTGGAACACACCTGTATAGAAGGCTTGGACTAACACTGTTTTGGAAACAAGTGGTTTGGAATGAGTTTTTTCCCCTTGGAGATATGAGTGAAATTTGTGAGACTGCTTTTATATTGTTCTGATGGAGACACAGGCAGTGTGATTAAGCATCTTACTTACAAATGAGTAGCAGTAAAGTGAAGTACAACTCTTGTACTTCACTGTCATGTTTGCGTCATAATCTTTTTTAGAAGTTGACTAATCTAGAAGAAAGACATGAGAACTGTATGTAATTTATGCCTTTATAATTGGGGTAAAACTCCTATACCAACAATATTTTGCTGTTTGTGTTCCAGTGAGTATTGTTTCTGGGCTTTGTGTGTGTTTAGATGGTGTCAAAATAATAGGTAAATAGAAAATGCTGAACTCAAAACCACATCAAGCTTTGATATTGGTTCCTCTGTCATTTGGAATAATACAAGGTAGGCAGAAGTCATATGGCAAATTCAGCAACTTCCCACACTATTAAGGAGAATCAATCAGCTATTTGAATTTAAACATTTAACTTAGAAAAGGCAAAATTAATTCAGATTTTTGTAAGCAGTAGTCAGGATTTCGTCCAAGAATGAAATAAGGGAAGCTGTCCTAGTATTAAAGTCATTCCTAAGGTAACACTAGAGTAAAACATGCTTTTGATACCCAGTGAAAGATTTTATGTGGTTGTTGCTGTTCTGTATGAAATTTCCTGGAAGAGGGCAGGCAATGCCCCCCTTCCTACCCCTTCACCCACGCTGTTGGATTGAAATCAGAATATGTCAAGAGATTGCTTTTCTGGTAGGGAATTAGCTGTTGGATTTGCCACATGAAGAAGTAAAATGAAAGAAAAACTATTTCCAAAGACAATCTTAGATAATGTTCGGAGGAAATAAAGAATTGCATATATTCATTTTCTATAGCATCTCAGTTTGAAAAAACTGGGAACACATTATCCTCGAGCTACCTCAAAATGAGATACTGCTGCCTGATCTCATAAATCTCTTCACATCAAACCTTATCCGATCTCATAAAGTCCTCACAGCTGTAGTTCACATTCAGCTTTCATTTAACTCCTGTGTAAATCAGTAGGAAACATCTTGAAAATAATGCAATTGCTTTTTAATTCCATGGACCCAGTGCCACAGTAACTGCCACGATACATTACTTTGATTCATAGGCAATGGTATTTTAATTAATTACACAGTCCTCTCTATATAAGTAACCTACAAATTGACTATTTCTCTCAATTTTTACCATATAAATTGCCAAAAAGTCAGTGGCATTGCCCACGGAAGCAAACTGATGGTGGCGTCAACCACACTTTGAACGATGATTTTGCAGCATACATGAATGCATGCTTTTCTCGTGCTCAACTTACACATATCACATCTGCTATATATTATTTTGTGGTATTTTTCATATATTATGTGGTATGTTTTAATTCTTCAGTGGATGAAACTCCTGGTATTCAATCTCATGCTGGTGAGGAAAATCCGTGATCAAAAGACAGGAAGTCTTTGGGGCACATGAAGAAGGTTCTACACCTTGTGACATTCTTATGTCTTTATTCTCCTACCACTTCATTGTATCTCCTGTTTCTCCTCCTTCTGGTCTCCACTCTTTTCTTTACCTTTGTAAAAGCTATAAATTCTCTGGGGAAAAGGGCTAGTGCTATTTCTCACAGAGGCAGGGCTTCACTTCTGAATATAATTGTACAGTTATATTCAAGTACAGCCTTAGAATCACAGAATGGTTTGGACTGGGGGGACCCTAAAGATCATCTCGTTCCAACCCTCTGCCATGGACACTTTCCACTAAAACAGGTTTCTCAAAGCCCTGTCCAGCCTGGCCTTGAACACTTCCACGAATGGGGCATCCACAACTTCTCTGGGCAAAAGCATTTCCACAGAGGATCCCTTGTGAGGGTGAGTGTGCATATGTCATTTTGGGGAATACATGTAGTTTGTGTGGAGCCATTTGTAAGGCAAAACAGAAGGTGGATCAAGTCAAGAGCACGTCATAACAGAGGCTGTGATTTAAATCACATACAGAGTATGTGATGCAGGGCAGGGTATAGTAAAAAATAGAGGGCTGCTTGGATGCTTATAGAATTTACAGGGTCTTGATCTAGGTGGTTTTTTTCTTTTTGGAAGGTTAATAAGTTTTAGGGCAACGTCACTAAAAGAGGAAGAGGTGTGACCTATACTTTATGGAATTACTTGCTATGCCTTTCACTGGGGTTATTTTAAATCACTGCTGCTGCTTTAAACTCTGAGTATTACAGATGAAGTTGTCAGGATCATCACAAATAAATAAAGGTGTGAAATGTGTATGTGTGTGTGTAAGATGCCCTCCCAGGCAAGTTGCAAAATGTTCCTTGGTGAGCACTTGGTGGTTTTCAATTAAAAAAAAAAAAAAAGGAAAAAAAAGTGTAGGAGTGGAGGAAAGAAGGAGGAAAATAGAAATACTTTGTCATACACTGCTGCAGGCAATGCCTGGTATTAATATAGTTGTAAAGCACAATGTCTCCTGTGAAATCTTCAGTGAAAGCTTTTGAAAAATGCTCATGCATGGCTATATGTGACTTCTTCAGGTACAGCAACATAAATCCATTTTTCTGTTCTCTTCTCTAAGAACTCCTTGGGCAGACAAAATAACCCAGCAGGAAATAAGATACCATGCTGAAAAGTTGTCTGCCTTCTACAGTTCTCTGTCTGGAAAATAAATCAGGTAGAAAGAAAAACAGTAAATCAGGAACAGCGGGGACTTTAAAAAATGAAGTTAATGTTAATTTAATTAAAGGAGGCTACAGAAATGATCTCTCTTTTTCCATTAATTTCTTCCATGACCTATTAAATTACCTTTTTTTTTTTTTTTACCTTTAACTTCCATCACTCAACTCCTCATCTGGAAAACAGAAAATCAAAAGAAACAGGAATAAATATTGCCACAGAGCTGGGTGACGTTAGTATAGAGATCATGTAACTTGGTTTTTCAATTACATGAAACACTTGAATGTGTGTGTTGATGCAGAAATGTGTGTGTCCCTTAGGTTTAGAAGCAGATCATTTTTTCATGCATTTGTGTTGCTGTTCTCAGTCTGCCCAAGTCCTGTGGATGGGAACTGGAAATGGGAATCTCTTCCTGCACACCAGGGCTTTGATTCTCCTGCTGCAGTAGATAAGTAAATCCTATTAAGGTTGAGGATGATCTATTGATGTCCTGTTGAGGGAAAAATTCTGGTTTCTGCTTGTTACGTGGGACTTAAAGAAGGGTTGAAGATGGGACTTCACACGCCAGGATGACTAAAGAGATTATTTTAGTTTCCTTGTGTACAAATTTAAACCTCTTTCTAGTAGTCCAAATTTTTGTTTGTTCAAAAGGTGGTTGAACAGCCCAGTTTTGACTGCTGTCACATTAAAGTAGCTTGGGAAAAGCCTTTGTTTTCCTTTAAAGGAGAAGATGGAGCAAAGTGCTTTCTTGTCTCAGGAGAGATTGGAAATGTCAGCTGATGCTTTGCAACACCGATTTATTTAATCTAAATTACTATTGCAGATTAAAAGCAAGTGCTGTCCTGGCTTTAAAGCAATATAATGTTTATAAAGAATGCCTAAGACATATTTATAAAACTGGTGCTGTCAAAACAGGTCAATCAGGAGACAATTTTATTCTGTAAATGCTTCTTATAGCCCTATCACTTAACTCACCTTTCTGGTCCAAGTTTTACTAAATCTGAAACAATAACATAAATCCTTTTTCCCCCTCCTCAAAAGTGATGAGAACTGAGCCTATGAGACACAATAGGAATTTATGCTTTTAACTGCCTCCAAGCCCCTGATCTCATTTCAGGAGTGATTTTGTGGGCCTTCTCCTGGGAAACACCAGGGTGTCCACAGCCACGTGCCTCTTGGAAGCACAAAGCACTGCCCTAGCTCACTGGATATAGAGGCATCTCCAATTCATAATTTTCACTGGTTAAACTGGCTTGAAGTCTCCTAAAGAGGAACGTGCCAAATTCACAGTGTTTTAAATATGTAAATACAGTTGAGCAGTGGTGATTTAATTAAAACTTGAGACATTGTATTCACTGAAAAAATGTCTTACAGCACTGTGGACATGTTCCTGTTTAGCATTTTTCTGAAGAACAAGACAAACACAGAAAAAAATCAGGCAAGGGATGGCAATCAGCAAGTTTACAAGCATGCTCATCATGGGTTTTGAAAAGAGATGGAGAAGAAAAATTTCAGAGGTCATAAAAGCCAACAAACTTTCCCAACTCATGTGAGGTTTGAGGCCATTTAAATGTGGTATTACATGTAGTACAAATGTTTTAATAATTGCTAGGGAATGGAGGGCCAGTTTGAAACACTCCAAACTATTAATTTAACATCTGCATCTTATGAAAAGCTTGGAAATAATATTTAGAGCAAATAAAAAGAGTGCATGTGTTGTAGTAATATTGCAGCAGAAGACAAACACTTCTTAGCGAAATCTTAAGGTTTCAGCATGAGAGACTTTCTGTAGAGCAAACAGCAGATTAGGGACAAAGAGACACAGAACAAAAACTCAGCTGTCTCTTGTTCTAGTCTAAGTGGTGACCCCCCTGTTCTCTTGGACATTCACCCTTCAGTCATTAATGGCAAAATTGCAGTGAACATTAGTTCAGATTAGAAAGGATTTTTTAATGAGAATATGTTATGATCTTTCTTTATTTACAAATTTTAAAATTAAGAAGTTCTACATAGATACTCCACTAGCTTTTTTTTTTTTTTTTTTTAAGTATAAGGATAACTTTAGGCACAAACATCTGTTTGTAGCTACTTTAGCCCTGTAAGAGTTGTGGTTTGTGCTATCATAACAAATTACATGAACTAAATGGGAAACATGTCTGCTTCACTATCACACGGCCTCCCCATACACCAAGAAAATGTGAGTTGCTATGAATATTCTCATGCCACCAGTTTTATCCAAATCCCTTTCCAAACCACTTCAGAGGAATTACAAATATCATATGGCTTAGGAAATAATTACAGCTTGAAGGCCCACAAGAGCATCTAAATAAAAGCACTGCACTTCTCTGAGACTGACTGTGAATTGTTGTATTCCTCTGTCTCCTAAGAGGGTTATAATGGACTGCAGGTAGAGCTGAACCAGCAATACTTATTGCTCTAACAGAAGAGAGGGT